TCCCGCATCATCCCAGGGGCCCATCGAGCCAATGCCTTCGAGGAGCTGAGCTTCTCCTCATCCGTCATCATCCACCTCGGCTTGTCCATCTCCTGTTCTTGCCCTTGATGACCTCCTTGATGTAGCTTGCAGATGCCTTTCTCGGGGCCTCTGAAGTCCATGGTGGTCCCGATCGTCGTAGGCTTCGCCGCTCGCCCACCCCAGTCACCTTGCAAGAACGTCACCCTCTTGAGCTCGTGGAGCTTCTCCAGGGCTTCCCACTCCGGCGTCCGCCACCACGATGCACACCTCGGCTCCGCCTGCGGCTCTGCCGGTTGCTCCAGGAAGAACTCCACAGCGCCCCCTTTTTCCTCTCTGGCCTTTGCCGTGAGGTCCGCCAGCAAGTAGACCAGGATGAAGCGAAACATGAGCACGTCATCCTCGTACACGATGGCTTCTTCTCCTTGGTCCATTCCCGGCAATCCCCAGAAATGTTCCACCGTTCTCACCGGTCGCGGTTTGGCCCTGTTGAGCAATGGGAAGAACCGCAGCACTGATCGCGTCCTGCAATTCGGGCCCCCCACCACTGCTTTGATTCGGTCATCCAGAGCCAGCCGCACCAAGCCACCCATGAGCTCGTCGTCCATGAGGTCGTGGCTGTTGTCACGGAGGATGTCATACTCCAGGATGTCCCTTGGATCACCTCCTTGCTCTTTATAAGCCCGGGACAAGTCAAATCCCTCCTCCGGGCCTGCAAACAAGTGCACAATCGCACCTCCCTTTTTCTCAAGCCTTCTCCTCCGGCTCCTATTCAATCCCAGAGGCTTCCAGTCCTCCGCCGGATTGACCATCAACTTTTCCTTGATTGCCTCCGGCACACCGTCGAACACCGGGTGCGTCTCCACCACCTTCTTGATGAAGTCCGCCTCATCCTGCTTTGACAGCGCCTTGACCCTGTAGCGGTTCACCCCCTCAAGCTCCTGGATCAAGCTGAGGGCCAGTTCTCTCGGCAACTCCGGGCAGCCTTGACTCATCACCACCGGTAGACGTCCTCGTCCAGGGTGCACCACCGCACATGTCTTCCCGCTCCACTTGACCTGGCAATTCAAGTCCTTCGTGAGCATTCCCATGGGGATGATCGGCTGTATCCGCTCGTCTTCCGCAACCAGGGTTCCTCCCAAGGTGACCTTCAGGCGGTAAGTCTCTCCAGCCGCCAGCTCTACGGTCTTCTCCTCATAGTCCGAGGTGTCCTCGCCCTTCATCATGGGTCTCAGCGGGTGCGTTGCTCCTGAATCCACCAGTCCGCGCATCCCACCAATCTCCATCTTCGACAACCTCACCTGTCGAACCGGCATCTTTTCTCGCATGCCGTCCAGCTGCTTCTGCAGGTCCATCAGCTTCTTCTCGTCATCCTCCGGTCCATTCTTGCCGGTCTTGACATTGATGCTCCTGAGCATTTTGGTCGCCTCCTGGAGCACGTCCTTCATTGCGTCTGTCTCTTTGTCGCCCGATGCCGAACTCGCCGCTCCCGGTGAATCCTCTTGCATCAGTAGTCGCCCTTGGAGTTGTGACCTTCTGGCTCTCCGTCGCGACTTCCTTCTTTGCTTCCTCCTCCGCGTTGACCTTCGCCGCCTTGGGCTTTCGGTCCACGTTGCCTTTGATCGCCACGGGGCAGTCCTTTCTCATGTGCTCGCTCGCCCCGCACGACCAGCATCTCATGCGTTCATCTTTCTGGTCATGGCTCCAACGGCAGCCACGTCCTCTCCTGCAGCCCTTTTCGGTAAGGAAAAACTTGCAGGGTTTCCCACCTTCTCCAGCGTTCTTCACCTCATTCTTGAAGTCCACAGCCTCTGCCTTCTTGATGCGGGTGTCCGTGGCCTGCGCCTTCCCCGCTGGGGCCTTGACCTCCTTCTCCAAGTGGGCGATCGCTTCCACCTCTGACAAGACGTGTTCCGCGTACTTCTCCACTGCCTCGTGAGAGGGGATGGAGTCCAGCTGGAGCGAATTCCTCGCCAGGGCCATCTTAAACGAGAGCTCTGGCTGCATCTCCACCACTTTCTTCACCATCTTGCTGAGGGAGCGGGACAGCACCGTGGGGTCCGGAATGGTCACCCCAAGTTCCTGTGCCCTCCACTTCCTCAACCCAACCACCAGCGATGCCAAGGAGTCCACCTCAGGGGGACTTTCCAGGTTCTTCAGGATGACCGATTTCTCCACCAGTCCTCCCGGCTGGTAGCTCGCCATGAGCTTGCATAGGATCGCATAGCAAGTCATGGACTTCGTTGCCACCATCTCTTCACGGGCTCCGTCAGGAAGAGCGCGAAGAAGTAGCCCCGCAGCCCGCCTCTCCAGCCTCCGCCATTTCGGTTCTTGAAGCTCCGGAGGGTCTTTCGGCTGCAGCTTGATTTTTTCCAGCGGCGGCGTAGTCTGATACCTTCCGTACCACATCCTCGCCGATTCCACCACTTGCTGCCACCATTGCTGTGACGATTCACTGAGGTCCGCCATAATCGGCTCCACGACGCAAATCCAGTCTCCCAGGTCGATGGGAGCACTCTCCGGCTTATACTCCACAAGCTTCGGCAAATCCGTTGTGACATTCTTCACCGTCTCGCTCGTGTCATCGCCGTGGTCCACCTTCTTCTTGGTGTCCAACATCTGCTGCTGCATGTTCTGCATGCCCTGCACGATCTTCAGCATGATGTCCAGGGACTTGTCCTTCGGGCCCGTCGGCTCGTCCTCACGCAGCTCCGAGGATTCTTCCTCAGGATCAGCAGGTTCACCTCGAGTTCCACGGCCTTCAGGGGTTCCATGTTCCTCAGGTGTGGCAAACCTGTCACTCTGATCACCTCCTCGAGTAGCTTCCACCTCCGGCGGTTTCCAGTTCTGCTGCATGTCCTGGACTTGGCTGAGACATTGCCCCACCTCCTGGTGTAGCCTCCGGTTATCCGCCAGGATCTGTGCCATGTAGTAGCGCATCTCCTGCATCGGATCTGGCCATTGAGCATGCCGTCCTGGTTCAGGTAGTCCCGGCTGTTGCAGCGATCCTTGATCTTGCCATTGAGCAAGCCGTGAGCCTTCAAGATTTTTGCCAGGTCCAAGAAGTACCAGCTGCGGCCCCAGTTCTTGCCGTTGAGCAGGCCGTGGGCCTTCAGCATCTCCCGCTGGTCCTGGTAGAGCAAGATGTTGTGCTGCCAGTGCCAACTGCCTTTCCACCTGCATGCCCTCATTGGACCGCTGGATGTAGCCCTCAAAACCTCCATGACCTGTTGCAGCTCCCGTTGCGTGAATGAGCGGAGCCTCGGTTGTCCACTCATCCAACCTTCTCATCTGCTCCGGAGTGAACAGCTCGTTCTCTGCCGGCCCAGGCTGAATCGACGATGGCTCCCCCTGCGGCCCTCCAGGCCATTGGGTCGAAGCTGCCGCCTCAATCAACCCATCCGGCCTGGCTATCATGGCAGGTTCCTCCACCTCCTCCACCACTGGGCCGACTCGGCCTCCGGTTCCCTTTCCGTTGTTCTCCAGGGTGGTCCTTCTCCGGGTCCTCCCTGAGTCAGCGCCATCCATGGCGCCAGTGTCACACCGCGTGACTTGGGCTCATAACCTGTGAATCTGGCTATCAGTCCGGCGCACTTTTGTCTGTGCGCTTCGAGTACAAAGCGGCTTCCGGGTCCGCTCCTAATCTCAAACCTCAAGCAAGGGGCCTCAAAGTGGCTACCCTCAATCTGTTTTGGAAAACCTGCACTCAGAACCTTAGGTCTGATCCCACGGAACTCCTCTCTGGGTTGCCCTAACGTGTCTCCTTATGCATCTCAGAGCTTCCTGTTCCTACCATACTAGGCAAGCAGGGGAAAACCATCATGTGATATTCCTACAATACTAGGCAAGCGGGGGAAAACCATCATGTGGTTCATAGAGGTAAGAAATCGTGATTGCCTATGTAACTGGAAGCACTGGGATTCTGACACGGACCCTGCCCCATGGACTCAAGGCCTCCGGGTCGTCGCTGTGCTTCACAATCTCCGGCCCCTCCTGGGAGAGCTGGACTCAAGTTCTCAGGGAGTGGGGTGATTTGGTGCCCAACCCCATTTGTGCTGTCGACGACCATAAAAGGAACAAAGCAACTAATCTGGAAGATCAAACTGTAACAACCATGTTCCAGTCTTTCAAAACGACATTCCCGTTCCTACAATTTCAAGAGGGAAAACATCCCCAATCACGTTGCCGACGCACGTTCCAACAAAAAGCCTGTAGGAGTGGGTTCTGGGGGTGCGGAGGTTGAATGCCACTTCCGCAAGGAGTATATGGGTGTGTCTTTTTTGGGGGACCCCCAAGATGGTGATTTTCCGTTTGGTTGCCCTTTAAAACCGCAAACAAGGGGCCCTCACAAGAAAACACACATATACTGCCTGAAGACCACACACCTCTTGCAAGGGTTGTTGAAAGTGCCCAAGCCGTCTTGATCCCAGTGACTCGGAATGGCTTACCTCAGCATTCCAGACGTCTTCGCCTTCCGGTTTTGTGATCCCTTGCCGTCCGCCCCGCAAAGACCTAAGCGGGTCTGTCTTGGATGGGGCGCAACTTGGGCCTTGCGTTGCTGGGGGCTTTGATAAAAGAACCAAACATTGAAGGTAACCAACATACAAGGAATGGCTGCAATGCAGCCCGGTCCAGCCCTTCACGATGCTTGGACTGGAACCATGAATGATTCATGCTCAGCAAATATGTGGGAAGGTTTCCAGTAAACCTCGGGTCCAGGTGAGTCCTTAGGCTTAAAGGGATCAAACGTGGCTCCGAGTACACAGCTAGAAAGTACTTGGAGCCCAGTTCCAGGTCAGGCTGGCCTCAGGATTTCACGCCAAGCTGCATCAAGCAGGTCTGCCCAGCGCACAGATTAGACAAAGGAACTGGACCTCTCAAACGGGAAGCCTTTCCCTTTGCCTCCCTTGAAAGGAAACCTAAGCCTCGAAACTCGAAACGCCTTTTTCGCCCCTGCTGCCCGGCTGCAAGAAGGACGGATTTTACTGCGCTCCGATGTCAAGCAGATCGGATTGCTCAAAGTCGGTGACGTCGGCCGGGTGAGCGTCCGCCGAAACTTTGACCTTCTTGTTCCTTCCAGCCGCCTTCCGCCCCAGTGACCACAAATACACCATCTTGTCCTCTTCAGTCTTCAGCTCTGACCACTCAAAGTACGGCACCGGCATGCAGGTGTAGCCCTCCAACTCCAAGACTTTCTGGTGCAACTTGCTGTATGCCGTTCGGTTGGTTGTCCCCGCGTAGTAACTGTAAGGCCCCACTGCACACACCACTGCCTTGCTGACCGGCAAGTACCTTGCTTGAGCGGCAAAGCCTGTTCTGGTCATTTCGAGAACTGTCTGATGAAAGGGAAAACGGGTGCCACTAGCCAAGCGGGCGTGTTTGGACCTTTAACAGGGATACTGCAAACAAACTATCACGGAAAGGATGTGTCAAAACTTGGCATCCTCTTGTTGAAGGTTTTGACATGGAGCTAGTGAGCACTTGGAGGGCTTCCTTGTTTTGACACATATCAACACTCCAGGGTGCGGGTTAGATGCTGCTTTCTGCCATGCTTTCCACTCCCCCAAGCCATGGCTAGTCCCATTAAACATCCTTTCATCTGCCACCCTTTCATCTGCCCGCGGCAGATGAATGTAGCTGAAACAACTTGTAGCTCTTCTCGATTAAACCCCGGCGGGGCAGCGGTTTGCGGGCAGGTGAAACGATCTTAGATCAGTGGATCCACCTCTTTCGGGCATCTACAGAGCTACATGACAAGTGTACGAAACAAGGCAAGAGCTTGTGGACCCCACAAAAAACATAGTTTCTCCTTAGCAAATTACGCCAATTATTTTGAACAATAAAAGCCCAGACTGAGCCGACCACCTGCAGTCAACTGTTTGAAGCTTGCTCGTTGAAAGGAGAAACGCCACACGGACGCGTGTGGACAAAAACCGGAGTGCCGGTAAACTATCTGCTTGCGGTTCACATATCCAGCACCTGGTCGTCAATGAGGGGCTTGAGCTCAACGGTGATGTCCATCTTCCGCAAGGTCTGTTTGACCTCCACCATCCACCGAGACTCTGTGGTGTTCACTTTCACCTAAGGCAATCGCACTCCAGGACCGGGGAAAAGAGACAGCACAAACCAACGTGCGAAAGCTCTCAAGATGTGCACCTCCAACCCGCTGACAAGGAGAACTCATTATATAAGGGATCCATATGGGAACACCGACCGGTGATTCATCGCTTTTGGAATACCTGGGCTGTCCTCAGATCCCCTGCGAAAAGTGTACGGTTTCCAAGTGGTTCTTCAAAAGCAAAGGTGCCAACCTGCACCGGCAAAATGGAAACCCAGGAGTACTAGACCTCTGCGTAACATGTGACGTCCCATTAAGGGATCCTTCACTCTGGGAACACCGACCGGCGATTCATACCTGGGCTGTCCTCAGATCCCCTGCAAAAAGTGTAGTGAGTTCACCGGAAACCCAACCTCTACAGGCCTCTACACCCAGAATCCGAGCAACTTAAGGCTGGGAACCACCGAAATGCCCAGCTCTTTGAGTCGTTCCGCCTGTGTCTTCTCAAAGAACTGCAGTGCCTCCCGGTTCTCCCGGCTCAGGCGGCGAGAAAGATCTGGGTGCAGCCTGCGAGGGGAACAGGAAGCCAGCTGAGCTGTGGGTCTCTGTGTGCTTTTCCATTTTCCGACGGTACCCTTTTCAGGTTGGTTTAAAGGAAAGTCACCAGGAAAACCGACGTCCACTTAGGTCCCCCCACTTTGACACACACCCAACGGCATTTGGGTGAGTTCCATTTCCTGCTTTGCCCTACAAGCCACCGTAGGATCTGTTCGGGGTTTTAGTATGAAGTTCCAATTCCATGCCACAAGAGCGGCTTCCGGGTCAACATGAGACCAAGCATCCATCCGGACCTGGGAAGAAACCCATGTTCAGGAAGCTTTCGGCATGGCTTTCTCGGCAAAAAACGATCTTTCTCTCGACCTGAACATGGATTCCCCATGTTGAGGCCCCCAACCCCTGGCCATTTCTCGCGTGGGGCATGGCACATGTCTGCCACGCACCCACGTACCGCGCCTCCGGAAGGCGATGGCGCTGGTCTTTAGGACCCGGCGCTGGTAGGTGGTGAACTCGTTCCTCACACGAGACCGTTCCAAGGAAATCCATTTTGCGCCACTTGGGCAGCTTATCCTTGGTTGACATTGGAAGGGGAGCAAACATTTAAATCTTAGCAGTTAAGTGGGGATTTCAACCACTAAACCACAATAAGCAAAGATGTGAATTGTTTCCCAGCAACAACCATGTATCCACCAGTGACCAGTATTCAGAGAGCTCCACATGATGCCTCGTGCAATATGGTTGTCCATCCAGAGTGGGATTGGGGGAAGATTGCTGGGCCCAAAAGCAACAGTGAGCTGGAGTCCCGTAAGGGGACACCCCCCCCCCCGATCCAACAAAAAAACTGCTTGGATAATGCTGAATCGGGGTTAACCGTAATTGATGCCTCGTGCAATATGTTTGTCCATCCAGAGTGGGATTGGGGGAAGATTGCTGGGCATAAAAGCAAAAGTGAGCTGGAGTCCCGTAAGGGGACACCCCCCGATCCAACAACAAAACTGCTTGGATAATGTTGAATCGGGGTTAACCGTATTTGTGGCCCTCGAAGGTTGTTCCAAAAAACACTTTGTGGTGAACACACACCAAAAAAAAAACATACGAGGTATAAACGGAGTGACAGAAGCAACAACAGTCTGGTGGATCCCAGTAGTTGTCGAAACGCAGGTGCCCCTTCGCCACGTTCCTCTAGTTTGGAAACGGTGGTTCCACTTGGCTCCTGAGGAAAATGGAATCACTGGGTTCTATCGGCCGAGTCTATGGAGCTGTGAATCGGAAGCTTGGCCGAGTTGGCCGAGCCTCCCATCTTGTCCCTAATTTCTGTCGTAACCTGGTAAAAATCTGTAGCACAGCACCCCTCCAGTTCCAGTAGCCCAAACAACATCCTCAACCTCCTTGGCCAAACCTCTGGCACACGTCGAACTCCGCATCGATTTTGCTCACTTGGATTTGCGTGCGTCTCTCAAAATCGGGTTTGGAACCGCAAAACGGACTTCGAATGATTTCGATGTCCTTTTGACTTCGGCTAAAGACGACCCCCCTAAACTGCGCACCAGCTCCAAAAAAAGCCGCGCCGAAGCCCCAGCGCATCGGCCGCTCCATGCGCCGGACCCTTGCGACTCGACTAAGCGAGGAGCTGAGACCAGGCCAGCAGCGTCAGCAGCATCTCGGCGACCTCGTCGGAGGTGCCGACGACGACCACCATGGACCGAAAGAGCAGGACCAGCGCCTCGAGTCCGGCAGGCTTTCAGAGGGCTGTGGCTCAAAAAAAACAAGAAACGGACAAAAATACCCCAAATGGGTTGCCCCTGGGAAGTGGAAACATGGACCAAAACCTGCGGTTTGCCCCTCCGATCGCTTAATTTTGAGCCACCCAGATTGGAGCGGACGACAGGGGAGAAGTGGATGGGTGGGGCTCGAAGAGAAAACAAAGGGGGAGGGGGGCAGAGTTCAAAGGGAAACCAGCCTTACAAATCGGGAGCGGACGAGCAGGTTTACTCTTTCGCCTCTTTATCTTACCCCATTGGGTTAAGCCGGGGTCCAACTAAATGTCGTTGAATATCAGACCAAGCGGAAACTCAGTTGAAAAGGAAACCACCCTTTGTCATTTGTAGGGGTCCAAAAACAACAGACACTCCCAAACATGTCTATGAATTTTCACTTGGGAGGTGGCTCCCTAGAGTAAAAATCATATATAGCCAAATATCCAGGACGTATTGCGCATGGTCAACCTTTTAGAGGTCTAAAGCCATCTGGCCATGGGTTGCATAACCTATGGCTCCATTTTGGGGTGGAGTTTTCTCCATTTGCCACCTATTTTGATGTTCGCCCAGACTTTTTTCCAGGGTTTTGACTCATGACACCGGCAGATCGATCCGATGAATCGGATCCGATCTGAATCGATCCGAATCGATGAATCGATCTCCTGCATATCAAAGAGGTCCAGCTCCCTGAGGTTCAAGGACTTCCGGTAGTCCGGCCCCAGCTCCAGGGCCGCCTTCAGCTTAGCCTCGCTCGGGTGGGGTGGGGTGGGGTGGGGTGGGGTGGGGTGGGGTGGGGTGGGGTGGGGTGGGGTGGGGTGGGGTGGGGTGGGGTGGGGTGGGGTGGGGTGGGGTGGGGTGGGGTGGGGTGGGGTGGGGTGGGGTGTGGGGTGGGGTGGGGGGGTGGGGTGGGGTGGGGTGGGGTGGGGTGGGGTGGGGTGGGGTGGGGTGGGGTGGGGTGGGGTGGGGTGGGGTGGGGTGGGGTGGGGTGGGGTGGGGTGGGTGGGGTGGTTGGTTGGGTCGGTGCATGGAAGCCAAAAGGAAAAACCACAAATCCAATTTGGGGGTCCATGGGCAAAATAGGGTTCCCAGTGTTTGTTTTTTTCCAGCTGTTAGGGTAGGTCACCAGAAGAAACTATGCAAAAGCTGGAGGTACAAATACCTGATTGCCGTAGTACTGCCTGGAAGCAGTGGGTGGTCAGCTGTGCTCTTGCCCTTTGAACTAGCCTTTAGAGTCCATGTTTTTGTTGTTTGTGGATGTCACTTTTCAGCCTGGGCCCAAACCAATTGATCCACAAACTGCGCAGCGCCAAGCGCTATTCACTTTGGGGAAGCAAACAACTCAGACCCCAGCCTACCTCAGGTTTTGCCAACCAACCACACTATGTTTGATGTTGAATATATTCAAATGATATCCCAGATTGATGCTTCGTTCAAGAAGAGAACTCAGACCCAAGACCGAGCCGGACCTGATCCTGCATTCACCTGAATTTGGGGTGTGGACCCAGGTGTAAACTTGAGTATTCGCTTGCGCTTGCTTGCTAGGAGCCCGCAAGATTTGGGCATATGAATCCTAACACAAATCATTGCGTTTATGTGAATCAACATTAGACAGACGAATCAATTCCGTCCGAAAGGGCACCTAAGTTGCTAAGCTTGATACGTAGCCTTCCAATAGCAACACTGGTTGCCAAGTGAGTCTGGGCGAATTGACCAACTATCCATCCCATTTGGGTTTCCTGGGGAAACAAAACGGTATATGCTATGTTGCGCTCAGATACTGGCGACCTTGCAGTATCAACCTGGCAGATTAGAAGGCGGTTGCCCCAGTGAAGCAGTGCCTCTAATGTCACACTTTTAGAATCCCGCGTTCTCATTGCACTGCAAGCAGTAACAAAGCGCAAAACCCAGCGATGTTGGGCCTGCATAGTAGGATTCATGTCTATCTCCACTAAACCGGGTTAGTAGTAGAACCGCCTCTTAAACGTGCGCCTTGGAACGTGCCCCAATCGTCAACGATCTATTTCTTCCTTTTGAGCAGGGGATGCCAAATGAGGTTCTTGAGTACTCTTCAAATAATTTCCACCCGGCACAGCTAATTAAGCTACTCACTTGTTGATCTTTGGTGCTTCTTCTCCTTCCCCCCCCTCGCCGTGCGCTCGCAAGAGCTGAGCCACAACCACCGCATCTTCCAGCGCTTTTGACAGCCGCGCATGGTTAAAATCCAGCTTGGCGAAGGCGTTCAGAGTGGTCGCCAGGGTGACCTGCGAAACAATTCTCCAGGTCGGTGCCTGGAAAACGACATGCGAATTGAGAGGCTTCTGTTCCTGCGTCGAACCACCACCATTTTGATGCCCAAGTCAAAGAATCTGTAGATGCTTCAACATCTTCAACCCCAAAATGCCTTGTAGATTCTTCAAGCCAATGCCTTTCCTCACTTCGCACGCGGCTTTGTGCGACCCGGCCTGGTTGAAGAGGTGTCGCTGCCCGAAGCGGCAGCACATCTTGGCGATGAGCAGCAGCGCCTTCTCGTCCCGCCGGTCCACGCGGGCCATGGCCGCCACCAGGATCGTGAGCCTCGGATGTCTGGTGCGAGGCGAAGGGGTGCGGAAAAATGCTTGGAGTCTGGTGAGAGGCTTGGAGTCTGGTGAGTACGAGCAGAGCCACTGAAAAGCAAGAAACCCTACAAACAAGGATATGATACCCCATCCACCAAACCTAAGAAACCAACCCAAACTTTTTTTACGCATGGAAGCGTGCTTTGCAGGGGAGTCCACTCCCATGGTAAGCCGCTAAGTCTGCAACAAGCACTCAAAAAGCAGTCGGGAGCATTAGGTCAAAGCAACCAAATGGACAAGTGTTCTTGTTTGTGCGCGAAGGGATGGGTTTTCCTTGCAAAGCAAGCAGCCCCCAACACAAGCAGGAGGCAAATCCTTCTTGCTTTGAAGCCCGCCCACCAACCCAACCCAACCCAACCCGACCCGACCCGACCCGACCCGACCCGACCCGACCCAACCCAACCAGCCAAGCAACCAAGCCACCAACCAAGCCTACCCTCACTCTTTCCCGCAGGCCGCGTTTTTCTTCCAGACTCCAGACAGCGGGGGAGCGGGAAACGGAGTTGCCCCACCATCTTTGGGTGTGTTTCTCAACGAAATGGACCCCCCGCCCTCCCAGCCAGACAGGGGGTGTTCAACTTCAACGCAAACCCCAATCTATTGGCGCCCGCCAACCCACCAGAATTGCTTAATTCGAGTTTGTCGTTCAGCCCCTCCAAAGAAGGTTCCAAGAGACATTGTTTGGGGTGGTTTCAGGAGCCACTCTGATTTCGTACCTACAAGATGGCTGCCGTGATCTTCCCATGCCCAGAGTACCTTGTCTGGATGCTTCCCAACCCATGCTTCTGATTTGCCTTTGCGCGAGATCAAAGTGCACCAACCAGACCTCCAGATGTGTTTATGGAAGAAAAGAAAAAAACATGGCCATTTCCGGTGTGTCGGTAAGGGAAGTCCCGACAAAAGCTGGAGAACATGAGGACTGGAAGTCGCCGCGGTTCATTCCAAGAGTTGCCTGCCTCGGTGTTCCTCCCAAAAACCCTGCGAAAGGACAACGGGCAGCATCACCTCTGCTGTTGCTGGATTTACCCTTTCCTTTTGGCCAGGAGTGTCTTGGCCTTGTGTCACCCCACATGCTTCTCTCCTTTGGTCCTCGCTGCTTTGCGGGTATCCCTGTGGCTTGCAACTGGGGAACTCCAAAGGGCTCATCGTCCACAGGAGCTTGATCAGCGACCTGAGATCAGAGCAGGACTCACATGGCAACGCGGACCAGCCAAGAGTGGACGGGTCAGACCAAGCCGAAACTCGTCGTGCACCACCGACACGGCACTCTTCACAGGGCTCTGGAGGCTCTGCGGCCGTAACATGATTAAACCACCGAATAAACTAGGGCCATCTATTTTTCCACCAAAATTACCAAAAAGGACACCTATGGTGCTATAGTTCAATTGGAAACCAGGAACCCCCGGAAAACGAGTCACGAGGTTCAGAGGGAATTGAGTGGACCCTTGCAACTACGTGGCCCCAGCCATGCTGAAGGGAGTTGAAGCGGACCCTTGTTCTGTATAGTGAAATTATAGTGGGTGCCTGATCTCAGCTATCCCCTTGCAGAAAACCAAGGCACTATGTTTTTGAAGCAAACCGAAACTAGTGACTTATATAGTGCAATTCAATCTATGCTCAACCAGAACTAGCCCAAATACTAAAACTGACATGATGACTTCGTAAATCCATGAGGGTTTGCCTCCGAGGTCAAGAGTTCGGATGGGCACTGTGCGTCTTCATTGGGACCTGTTTGTACAGGTTCTGTTCTGGAGAAACAAACCCCCCCTTTTTTTTTACGTTAGGGTGAAAGCAGTTGACACTTTCATCTCCATAAGCAAAGAGGACCGACTACTTTCTCTGCTCCAAGTACAACCTATTCAAGGGTTGAAGGCGGGGTCATTTCAGGGCCAAAGTACCTCAACAGAAGCTACGTGGAGCCTCTCCTGGTGATTCCAGGATAGGTGGATCCAAGTTGCCGAAAGACGAACAAGCCCCCAGCTCAGCGCTAATTTAAAAAAAAAAAAAAAAACCGCCCAGTGGCATGCCGGCCAATCGCCAAAAGCGAGGGCGGTAGATGTAAAAGTGCGCAACCGCGTTGCCTGACGCGACCCAAGGGACCCGGAAATGACAGGGATGGCACCTTGGACTAAAAGCAAAGACTGGCACCAGCCCAAAAACGACAAAGCCGAAGGCTGAGATCGATTTTGTTGCACCAGTTGTCATAAGGGCAACACGTAACCGACAAAAAGAAAAGGGTAAGCATTTGGGACCATGAATGTAGATGGGGAAAGCACCTCTTGGGATCATGACGAAACACCTTGTGGGGCCATGTGAGGGTAAAGGTATTGGGCCCACGTGGGATGATTGGAGGTCGTGCTTTGTGCATGTTGATATGGGGGTTCTCAAAAGAGTGCTCCTCTAAAATGGCAACAGTTTCCTGTTGGCTGTCAATACCAACCCAAAGGGCGTTAGACCGCCTCAGCTTAAAAGTGACAATGAGTGTGTCACTTCAAGGCGTCTCGATTTAGTACATTGCCAGAAGGAACCTAACTAAACGAAAGCTCCCTTGTCCTAAGGAGCCGATTTGTTTTTGAGACCAGAAGTACAAGTAGACGGATTGATTCAATTGACCATAACTCAAGGAAGACAAACGAACATGCTCAGGCTTCCAAGGGGAAAAAACTGACACCGCTGCGGTGTTTTTTTTTCATGACCCCCCTAGTCTCAGAAGGAACAGGGCACCGCTTGCTTGGGATCAAACCATCAAACCGGGGAAGCGATCCATCCTTTGCCAGCGCGAGTTGCTGGTAAGGGCCAGATGCAGCCCGGTCCATTCCTCCCCTCGCTGGCAGATGACGCTCAGGAGCAGATGGATGTTGTCGGTGCGCTCGTACTCCAACTTCTTGTGAGCCGACAAAATCAGCACCAGCTCCTGAGGGCCTTTTCACTCAGGGGCTCTTGACTAGAGAGTCTAACTTTTGAGGTTCGTTTTCAGCGGCTGTATTTAGACATAGTGTGCTTCTCAACTTCAGTTTAACCCCTGAAAAGGTGGCCCCTGCAACTTCTCCCGATTTTCAAAAGGACGCTGCTCTTGGCAAAAAGCCTCTGAGTCGCATCGCCTCTCACAGGTGAAGGCCTCACTCTCACTCTCAGATCCATGGGTCTTCCGGGTCTCGGGCCCGGGGTCTTCCGTCCTGCGTTGGGAAGGAATCAATGTGCCTCAAGATGAAGGGCGACAGGGTGTCCAAGGCCTGACCGTGGACCGCGGCTGCCGGCCTTGATGTGGTGGCCCCAGCTCGATCTAATTTGTTCAGCCAATCACCACAGCTGCAAAACATAGCTATTCTTATTGGCCCAAGCTGTGATGACAAAACCACAAGGAAAAAGTAGCCCGTGGCTATACTATTTACTCCGCAGCAAATTCCAAACCAAACAAACAACACTTTTAAAGGAGCTATAAATCAACATGGAAGCCCGAATCAGGTCCGGCAAAAGGAGAATTCTCTAAAACTGATAGTGTTCGAGATTCGTGATTCTTCATGACGTGACCCACGTCCTCGCGATCACGAGGACCATGTTCCGCGCCTTCACGTCCCGGTACTTGATCCGTGCGAAGGCGCGGAAGATCAGCGAGACATCGTTGGCGGAGGCCAAGGTGCCCGTCATCAGCACGCGCTGCGCAAAGCGGGACCACACCTGTGGCCCAAACCTCTGGTGGATTTCGGGGGGGGGGAAGGGCGACCCCCCCCCCTGTTTCGAGGGGAAGGAGGATCCTCACAACTCCTTTACGGCTATGACCCCAGAAGAACCAACCTGGCGGGTACCTTTTTGGGTGCAACTCCAACAGAAGTGATCCAAATTCCCTTCTAAATGGAACACTCTGTGATTTACCTGGGGTGGGTCAATCCTGGGTTTGCGAACATGAACCCAGCACCCCCGTTGCCCACCCGGTAGAGAAAGGAAGCCCTTGTTGGGAGTCTTGACCGCGTACCGCCGTGCAGTAGAAGGGGAACACTGAAAGGCATGCTGGGAGGGAAGACAATGTGAATCCAGCCACTATGGTGGGTAACTATAAACCAGTACAAAATACATACAACTCTACAACCACTGGTTTGCCTTCAATCAGTCAAGTTCGGTTACAAGCCCTTGGGTGTGGAGCTCGGCAGATCCGTCGCTCAGCTCGGGTCAATGGGCCAACTTGTTTTGGGGGAATGCAGGGCTGGGCTGTTTGCTTTCCCCACGGGGTTGAACGAGTGAGCCCCATGTTGAGACACCCCCGAAAGGGACCTCAGCAAACTCAGCACCGTTCCAACAGATTCAACGAGCAGAACATGGGGACCCCAGCCAAAACCATCTATTTGTGGTTGCTCCCCAACTAATTTGTGGGGTATCTTATTCAAATTTGATCTATGTATTTGTCGGCCTCAGCACTGAAACTCAGGCACTTGCTCTCACCCAACCCGTTTCTGTTTGGGCCACAAAAAAGCACAACTGCAGGTCCCGCTGTCTGAAACTTGTGTTTTGTGGCATCCAAACCGATGTGCAACAGATGAGGGAAAGTACAATTCTAGGATGGTTTGAAGGGAAATCAAAAGACAACCAGCATTTCCGGGGGGCGGGGGGGCGGGGGGGGGGGGCAATGCCCTATGTTGACACGCACCACGTTTATGGCCAGGGCCACAGTAAGGTTCGCACCCGCCTCCTCGCTCCTCACCCCGCGCCGTGCGCACTGCCACATCTTCTTGGCCAAAGGTCCGGGGCCGGAGGGCGACGCTGGCGCCCAATCCTGTTGGGGGATTCAACTAGGTGTCAAACCTGAAAATGGGTCTGTCTTTGTTGGGTGGTACCGGATTCCTTTTAAGGGATCCCGAAAGGACTGCCGCCATTCTTGGTGGGTCCCCGAGAAAAAGACACAGCCAGGTGTCAAGCCTGAAAGTAACCAAGCGTTGGCCTTCCACCCTTTCGGACCAATACACGGAATTCTGGGGTAGTTGGGGGATCGAACCATCTTGAAACAGGGAACATTAGGGCAAGATGGCGGCTTCCCTTTGGTTTGCCCCAGCCAAGCATCACCAACCGCAGGCAAGCCTACCAAACGAAACCGCAAAAAACAACAACGGGGAACCGTGGCAACCATGTTCTTGTTTGGAGATGGATGCCCAAAACAGGTTGGCCATTGAACCCGTGAGACCCACAAAAGTGAACAATTTCCGCAAAAGAGAAGGGGACACTCCCTTTCTAAAACCAGGGATTGTTTATCCGGTGTAAACATTAACATCAAAACAGGGCGTCCCCAAAAATCGTAGGTGTTTCTGTTGGTATCCCTGTAAACCCATAAAATGTCAACTGATGTTGACCCCATATTCATCAACCTCGGTTTATTAATAGGGGGTGTTCCTGGGTTTAATGGGGAATCAGACCACTCTTGGAGGGGCCAAAAACCTCTCTCCTTTTAATAAACTGGGGTTGAACAAGATGGGGGCAACATAAAAAAGGGTATCCCAAAAAATTGCGGGCTTTCCAAATATTGGTTTCCTTGTAAAAACCCATGAACAAATCAACTAAGCCCCTTGGATTCTTATCTTGCTCTCCTCCTGGCCGTCCACGTCCTCTGGATGTGCTGTGTCCAGAAGATCCGAGGAGCTCTCCTCTTGGAAGACCGGGCTCATCTTGCCTCGACTTCGGCTGGTTGGACCCACGAAAACGGCGGGGGGGGGAGGGGGGGGGGCCGTGGTTGTTGTCGTTTTGTCGTCGTTTTCGTTTTGTTGTTTCAAAACCAAAAATATGGGAGGATGGATCTCAAGGGAAAGCAGCTGGACAGCGAACGTCAGGGAAGTAAACAGTGTTTGGTTGCGTTGAAGGAAAACCAAGCGGACACAACGCAGTGTGGTTGCTTGAATTGTGTTGTTGGTACCCGTTTGGTGTTGTGTTCATGTAAAACAACATGGATTCCACCCATTTTGAGGTTAGTTGGGCTGGAGCTGGATCTTTTTTGGGATCAAACAACATGAACACCCATGTTGAGGGTGTGTTTGGTTTACCCTTGTGGTGCTGCTTGAATGTAAAACAACAAAGACAACACCCATTTTGAGGGTTTGTGGATTGTTTTGAAGGGAAGTCGAATGGAAGCAATCCAAATTGTGTGTGTGTGTGTTGTTGAGTTGGTCGCCTTGCTGAGGTTGTGTTGAATGGAAATAAAGTACAGGACACTTGGTGGACTCCAGTGAAAAAAAAACACCCTATGAATAGGAGGTGACTTTTTGGCGAGGTTCAATGCCCACTCATTCAGAGCCAATCTTTCTTGGCACACTATCCGTGTTGGGATGCCCAGACTGCACGGCACTCCAGAACATTGTCACTTGCAGTCGTTTGCTTCAAGACCCACTTGATTTACAAACATTGTACCCGAATGGTGACCCGGCTGACATGAAATGCCCAGGAATCAATAATCGAGCGGCAACATTCAAGTACGCCAAAGTTAATCTATGGCCCTCTCAAAGGTGCTGGAAACCAAGTTGGATTTGGGACCAGACCTAAAAGCAGACCGAATCGAACACAAAGTATCAACTGCGGACCAGAGCCATTCCCCATTCCCCAAAGACCGGAATGTTTTTGGCGCCTGGTCCAGGAAAGCAGTTCCCTTTCAGCAAACCCCAACTGCTCGCTGTCGTTTGGGCACTTTGTATATTTTTGGACGTGGGATACAGCAGTTTGGTCTTTCCAGAAACCGCTGGGAGCAGCTCCGTGGATTTGTTTTGTTTGCGCATGTTGTTGGGCAAGAAATCGCCATTTGGGGCGGCTGGCAAGGACACCAGGCCTGAAATCTCGCCTGAGGTGTCCTTTGGCTGTATTTGACAAGTTGGCATACGTCCAAAATAATGCTAAAACTATGAGAGCCGACCCAACATGATGGCCCAACTCAGCTCAATTCGGAAATTTGGGGAAATGACTAAGCAGCTTTGTGTTGGTCTCCCTTAGGCAAACCAAACACGTTCCCGAAAAAGACACGGCGTGCGTGCAAGTTGCCCCGCTGGCTCTTCTGAGTGATCCTATGTCTTGGAGTCTGCAACTCCTCCACCTCGCTACTCTCCGCCCGGCTTGCGAGGCATTTCCTGTGGCCAACTGACGGGAGCTCTGCGTTTCCTCCAGGCTGGGCGATTTTTTGGGGGGACATGAGACTCATGTCCCCCCAAAAAAATCGCCCAGCCTGGAGGAAACGCATTTCAAACTGGCCCCCAAAGGAGATGTCTAAACAAGTGCAAACTACCCAAAAGGGGAAGTAACGACACCCCTTGCAAACAAATGGCATCCACTTTTTGCCTGAGACCAAAAGGTCACACAAGAGAGGTTTACCGAAATATGCATTTTCCTAGGCAAAACCTGCTGGTGGCACAACTTGTGACACTTTCCACAAGGCCAAATTTCACCATCCCGCAGCTTTTGCCCCCCCCCCCCCAAAAAAAAAACAAAAAAAACTGATTGCGTCTGGTTCATAGGTAGTAAACCTCAAAATTAACATGAGCTCTACCTAAAGTCGCCATGACCCTTAAAACATGGGTCCATGACCCCTTAGTTTTGGGTATTGACCAACCATTTTTTGAGGGTCATGGAGAAGAGGTACAGAGAGCTCCCACACCAAGCTAAACCAAAGAGCCACCCTTCTGTCCTGGCGCTTCGGCCATGTCCCAGACGCCTCCAGAAAGGCACACGCAGGTACATGGTATCCAGCGCGCCATGCTGCGCGCAAGATCTCTCAGATTGATCTGTAAGTCACACAACTGGAAATGAAAACTCGGTTGCTTTCTGCTCCACTGCTAAAAATCTAACTTTTGGTGGCTTAATGGAAGACCCATTAGTTGGCAACAAAGTTAAAGTCCTAACATCCAAGCAAAAATGCAACAAAGAAAAGGAAACCACTGGCTTTCCCTTGTCCTCCTTGAAATACTTGGAGAATCATATGTACCAGTGTACCAGGGCAAAGCATAACTCGCAAGCCGGAAAACTTGAAAAGTAAGGCGCCGCGGTCCTTTGCATGAAACCCCGCCAAGGAGAGCTCGTGTTCAGATGAGTTCAGGTGCCTTGAGGATGTGCTTCTGGTTCAGGTTCGTTGCTGTGCTGATATGCGACCGGCTATGCACCACTTCTCTAAATGAAGCTGACATGCACTCACCCCGTTCACTGAATGATTGTTAGGCTGGGTGCTAATTAGGGGGCCTGAAAAACATATGATAATAATAATAACAACAATAAAATGCATAACAATAATAATGATAATAATACAAACATAAAACACATCCCCTTTTGGCTTTCCTTTGGCAAACTAACAGTTATGGGCTACTGAGCACCCAGCAGGTGTACCACTCTCAAACCACGCGGCTGGGATGGAGCCAGTGCGCCTATGCCAAGCTGCAGAATGCGTTCAGCATGCGACCACTTGCAATATTCAGTGGGGTTCTTTCGGGAAGGACACATAGGGTCTTTTGGGCACCTCACTGGGGCGAGCGCACCACCGAAGTCCAGACACCTTGAAGGTTCAAAGGGAAGCAACAACCCGACAACTGCTGGAGCAGTTGCTCTTGGCAACATCTCAGCTCTGTACGTGCGGGAAGTCAAGCACGAATGAGTGCTGTTGATCAAACACATATTTTCAACATATTTCCACCAAAGGGATAGACCGGTCCAAATCCAGTGGTTGCAAGGTCAACATAGACACAAAGAACAAGCGAGCTTTGAGCGGGTGAAAAATTGGCTTTCGGACAAGTCAGCGTAGCCGGGTAGCCGAATGTTCGCACAACCCATGTGTCGACCTGTGTTTTCTTGTGTGTGTGTGTGTCAAAGATAGCTTGCATCTCTTCTGAAGGTTACCACATTGCTGATGATCAACACTGGCGTCCCAACTATTGGCTACTCATAGGGAACAAGGTAGTTGTCCGCTGGGCTCAATAGCTCCAAGTGAGTCAAAATCAAACACTGGTATTGACAAAGAGCGGCCTGGCTGGGACTATCCCTTACTACTCATCTACCTCTGGCTTGGTTGTGGCTCAATGCTTCAACATGCGACGGAGCTCCACCGCCATATCTATTTCGGATCGTTCGGTTGAAACATGTCGTTTGCTTCTGCAGCTGTCTTCAATGGGTCAATGGGCCAAGCTGCGCAACTTTGACCTTCAGGGGTCTGCCACCCACTACCTGCGTAAACTATGTTTACCAAACTGTTTTGTTCCTCCTTGCATCCGAATCGGTCACTGGTGGCCGCGTTTACACGGTAACAGCACAAACTATGCTTACCAAACTGGACAAAAGGGACACGAGGTTACGGACCTTCATGAGTGAGCCCGCTTTACCCCAGTGAACTCGCTTTACCCCGAAGAAAGCTTGTTGATATTTGCCCAAAGCAGGGTCCGTACAGCATCTTTCCAGTTGCGAGCAAATGTTGCAGGCCGAGTGTGCGGACTCATATGTGAACTCATGGCCGTGTTGTTGGTGGCGCCTCATTCATGGTGAAAAAGAAATAAACAAGGGATGCATATGAGGGATTCATGTTATGAGCATGTATTCGAAGATATCCATCCATTCCGTCAAAACTGTAACACAGGCAGTCATCTTATAAAACCAACGGAAACAGCGAACTCTACCTGGCTAAAACCAGGCCGATTGAACCCCGAAAACTCAATGCAAGGCGATCCCCTTTCGGCTTATGGCTCAATTTAGTCCGCCAGGTCTGTGAACCCGGAGTCAACATTATCTGAGAGCAAGCCATGACAAATCGGAACACACCAGCCATGAAGAGCTTCACTTGAAGAAGCTCAACTGGTTAGCTACAAGACAGTTGCCCAATTTAAAGCATCCAGCATAAAGACATAGGATACACAAACCAAACGGATTACGTACAAGCGCCAAATAACTGACATGTCCCCGCCAAAAAGAAACTCTCTAAACGTGGCGTGTCTCAAACGGCGATGTTGGATACCGTGCTACACAAAGGTGGAAAAGCAAGCGGCACACCTCCCAAACCCCTCCCACCCTCGCTGGAGGTCCTCGAGAGCCTGGTTAATCCTCTGGATCATCAGGCCCCTGGCGGATTCCGACGATTTAGTTGTGGCTTCTTTGGCTCAATGAAATCGTCTTTCTTCATTCACATTCAAACAACTATGTGCTGAAAAGCACCCGTCAAACATGGGCTCTTACCAGAAAAGGATAGATTTTCTCTGGCAAGCCTGGCTTCCCAAAGTCAGGCTTAGCTTTTTCTTCTGGTTCTGGTTGCCTTCCATGTCAGGAAGGGATGAAGTCGACTGAATTTGCTGACGCAAGGCGACGCTTGAACCACACAAAAACCAAAAAAGGTGCCCTCCCACCCGCTCACAAATTGCATTCGACTGGAGGCCTCTGGAAGATGTTCCCTTAGGGACTGCCTTTTGAACTGGATCCGAGGGTACAGGGTACCCAAAATGGCACGGTAAGTGGAAACAATGACTAAAACCTGTGGTCCCCTGGTGATTTAATTTTGACCCATACCCACATTGAAATACCCTAAACGCAAAGCACAAACCTAGGCTCTTTGGACCGGGACCCGTTTGGGTCTCGTGTTGTGCCCGTTTGGGTCGTTTCACGCCTGGAGCGCTGAAAGCCGCCCGGACATGGGAACTACTCCGGATGCCACCTTTCTGGCAGATGTTTGGGAAACCAACTGGAGAAAAGAGAGCACAGCTGCCTTGCCCAAGTTCATTAGGGAAACCAGCTGGAAGAGGTAACGCAGCCGCTGAACAACAGGATGTGATTGATGGAAAGGAAACTGCATGGAGGACATCAGACTAGAGCACGTGTGTCGGGGATGCGGAGGAGATGCTATGACCCAACCAAAAGGGGACTCACCTTAAGTTGGCAACCAGGAGGCGATGCGTGTCGGCAATTCGCTAACGACGGCTCTCTCAAAAAAGAGGCGACCAAAGCGATTGGCTTCCTTTCGGTGCCTGGAACTCCAATCCAACAGGTTCAATCTATGGGACCAAACCTGGGACAACGGCCATGGACCACAGGGTGAAAACCAAAAATCAAAGTTTCGGTCGCTCGTTTCGAAACGAGCCCCCATGAGCATACAAAGCCCGGGTCCCGAGGCGACCTCCAACAGATGCCGTGTTTGGGCCATGGTATGCAAACTGTGTGTGCTTCCGAAAATCAACGTGCTTCTACGATCTATCATCTAAGTGGGGAGTTCACCAAACGTGTTGAGGGCCCGCAAAAGCTATTCTGCTTGAACAAAAACACATTGCGCAGGTCGAATCGTCAACAAATCCTTGCAGGATCCCCGGGAAAAGGAACAAAAAGATGCGGGGGCTGGGCTCGGCTTAGCAACTTCACACCGGGCTACACATTTCTTGCCTACCTAAACTTTGCACTAGGGCGAACGCCCTTTCATCCCTAACGGAAAATCAGAAGTTCCCCTGCCTTGATATAACAAAACGCGAGCCTCAAATAAGTTCTCAATCCGGACAAATTCCGTTGCATTCGAAATAAGCTGTGTTACCCAATGGCAGATTCACTTTGCCAGGTGATCTGCCCAACCTCGCCTGAAGTCCTTCCTGGTGACGTCTCTGCTGGTGCAGATGTTCTGCCCAAATGCCCTGAGCGCCAAAGACCCGATAAATTCCTCCCCATTCCCCAGACCTGCTATGGATTTCCAAAACGAAAAAGGACTCCCAACCAAGGAGGTTTGGAACCTCGATTGTCATCCATACTGGCATCCCAAAAATGTGTTTCGCCTGGGGCGTTGTCATAATCTCACTTCCTCAGCGGACTGGTCAGACAGAGTTGTTGTTTGACTCCACATGTGTCTTCCCCCGCCCAAAGAAAAGGAACAACATAATCAGGAACTCAGGGAGTGAGTGCTCCATTGTCATTCTCGGGAATTGAAGACCTCAAACAACGTGACCTTCATATGGGCAAAATCACAGGTCTTACGACCAAGGAGGCAAGCAATCCTTGTGTGGTCAATCATCTTGGTTGTATCTCGCCCTGATACAATTGCCCCAAGTGCAATTGCCACGGTTAACCACTTAAATTACCCGAGCAGACCCCCAACCTGGCGGAGGCTCCGGTTCCCAACCAAAGCCACAGGCCCGTGCGCCGAAAACTCTGAGGAACCCCCACATGGCATGGGCATTGGTGCCGCCGAAGCCAAAGGAAGAGACCTGCCAGAGTTGGGACACCCCGCGATCTTGGCGCTCTTGGACGAGAACCCACTGGGTGTGTGTCTCTCGTTTTTTACGGAAGCCCAGGTTTGGTCGGAGTTGAGGGGAAACCAAAAAGGAACACCACCAATTTCATTCTCCCTGATTCGAGACAAAGCCGTTGAGGAGCAGCCCTTCTGGTGGGCCTCAATGTGTCCAGTTGACGCTTGCTGTGTTCATCTTCACTCGATGGCGGCTGATTCAAGAACCACCGGCTCAACTCTCAGTCCCCTAAAAGGCCCAGCCCACAAACTCTGGTAGAACATCGAACGACCCCCCCCCCGTTTCCCCGTTTCCCCGTTTCCCCGAAAGAGCTTGCACCTTCTTGGCTTGCTTGGCTTGCTTTGTCTTGGGCTTCGGTTGGGCGGCAAGAACGCTGATACTGGGGGACCCCAGCTCCAGAGACGCAGCTGTTGTACTGCGTGACCATGCCCTCCGACACGAACTGAGCCGGGAATCCTGGCGAGTGAGTCATCCAAACCCGGCAAACAAAGTTGATGTCTGCCGAGCTTCACTGACTGCGCCTGTTCTTGTGACACTGGTTTTGGAAAGCCTGAAGAAAAAGATCTGTCTGGATAAGGCAACCCCTTTAAACCAACTCTCACATTCTGGATCTGGGCTTGACCATTCTTAGTGGTGGACCCCACCAAACCAAAGCATGAACTTGGATGATACTGTGGTTGCGAATTCCATTTCGCACCCTGCAGAAACCCTGAACAACTTGGTGCTGCCCCTGCAACCAATGGCTTCAGCCCCGTGGTTTCCAAGCGCGAGCGGATTTCGCGAGCGGATTTTTCGCTCCAACCGAATCCGAACCGCTCCTTCGGTCTCGAGGTGCGGATTCCTCTCCCGGAGGTGGATGTTGGGGCTGCACTCGCAGCGCATCACCTAGGAGAGGTTTTGGGGGCGGCCAGAAAGAATCATGACTGTTGATGCCTGGAGTCTCCATGGCCCTTGAAATAAATGGCCCCATGGCCCCCTTATTTGTTTACCTGGAGTCTCATTTTCTGACCCTTGAAAAATGGTTGATGATTACCCAAATTATTTATTGTCATGGACCCATTTTTACAAGCCATACAAGCAAGGCCGCCCCATTTAGGGTGCTCCCGTCTGTGGCGCCTCGAATTCGATTGCACTGGTCAGGCCGTTTTGATTGAGGGTGGGCCAGGAGGGCCCGTTTGTTTGGAAAGACTTTTGCACCAATCCGAGAATCCAAAACAAATAGGCGGGCACCGTGATGAAAGACAATCTGTGGGACTCTATTTGTTGGTTCCTTGGTTTATTCGCAAAACACATGGAAACGCAAACAACCAGGGAGCCCACGCTCAATCAACACTGACCAATGGTACAAGATCTGTGGTTGAAACCCGGCGCCTGCAGGGCACACTTGATGAAGCCCGCCATGCCTGGCCAGAGGCTTCCAGATCCAACCCTCCCCATCTTGCCATGGAACCGGCGGAGATGGTCCAAGAGTCCATCAGTTTTCTGCGCGGATCCTCAAGGGAAGGCTCTTTCTGTCAAAGGGGCAAAAGGAAAACACGAGGAGATTGGAAAGATCTTCATGCCCAGGGCACTTATCGCTTGAACAGGGGATTCCCCGAAGGTTCTACAAGACCGTCTCACAAGTGGCAACCTTGAGTTGTCCACCAGGGCGTCACCGTGCGACCTGTTGCTGACGGCATCAGACTGAGCGCGGGCCAAGGTGACTGCTCGCTGCTACGGAAGTCCGCGCCAGTCTTGCTGCGTCGGTCGAAGCAATTCCAGCCAGCAACGGCTGCGTCCATCTTCTTCGACGGGGTTTGACGGGCGACGCTTCTGCTGAGAGGATGCGGTCGGTTTGATGGATGAGCCTTCAAACCTCCCCCCCAAAAAAATATTACTTCCTGAGTGGATGGCCCGCAACAAGTTTGAACTCTTCGCTTGCCACTAAAATGGTTTTCCCAAAAAGAATAAAGTCCAGCAACTCGAGGAAGCAAACATTTGGGCGTGCGTCCTGAATAATATGAATCGGACCCCTAAATGGCAAACCAAGAGGAACCCGTGGCCCAAACTGAGGGAGGGGGTCTGAATTCTGCCTCGAGATCCCCAATCTTGCAAAGGTGTGGAACCAATTCCCCAGACCCCCCATTGGCCATGGACAATATTAGGGGCACCTACTTTGGTTGGCTGATTTGAGGTTGAAAACCTGCTCCACAAATATCGGGGGAAAGGGCACCAATGGGGGAAAAGTGGATTAGACATGAATGGACATTTGGGGGAAGTTGCCAGCCAATCCATAGAAAATTGTTCAATGCCAGCAACTAGTTTGGTCGGCAAAAAAAAGAAATGGCAAAGCAACCACGTTGGAAAAACAAAGCCTTCCAAAGTGAAAGGGGGTTCCTTGAAACAAGACACACCCATTTGGAAACACGCTGTTGACTCCTGGCACTTCAGGTTCGAGCTCCGCATCGAACACACCTGGTGCTGGGGTCAGAAATATACCCAGCCCCTCCTTCTTACCACCAACAAAGGGCTACCAACTCCCCAAAACAACAGACCCAGCTGTAGAGTGGCCTGCACAGCCCTCGAGGTGCCCGAGGTTCGTCTTGGAGCTGGTGACCTCGCCAGAACTTGGGCGGGCTAAGCTCCTAGAGGTCACCGTCACATTTTGAGACTTTGGTTTCAGCTGCGCTCACAGAGGCCCGGTGCGAACTTGAGTGAGTGAGTGAGTGAGTGAGGGAGGGAGTGAGGGAGGGAGTGAGGGAGGGAGTGAGTGAGTGAGTCAGCGAGTTTGGTTTTAAGCGCATGCTTGAACTTGGAGTGCGGTTGTCCTTTTGTTGAAGGCAAGCCAGGCAAAAATAGAACACAATTTGGGCTTTGAAGGGGAAGCATTGACTAAAGGCGGTATGCCAGAACATTGGACAATCGCGTGGATAGTGATTCAGCCCAGTACTTGGCTGCCTGGTGGGGCGATAACTTCTCAACTGCGACACAACGTGTATCTGGGCAAATTACAGTAATGCAATTCGCAAACAGGAGCCAAAAGGCCTTTATCACAGGCGAGCTCATTCTATCCCCACCCCACTGTGAGCTGGTTACAATTTGCCCAAATCGTATTGTCAGGTTGGCGGCTTGTAGGTACTGTCATCGGTTTCATTTCTAGTGAGTATGTTCTCCGGATTCTGATCCGTTTGCTTCACTTACTAATTCACAGCCCTCACTGGAGGGACTAAGCAAACAGCAACAAACACCAGATCTTCAAACAAGCCAATGAAATAGGAACTGAACTGACGGTGGCATACTGAGCAACTACTCAGCAGTGGCCTACGGATTCTATAGATTCAAGGGTTACCGGTTTGGGGCCCAAAAGGAAACAACAAACCGTCCAAGTGCGCTGCTCGCACATTTTCACGCTTGAACAGCCACACTGCGGATGCAACGGATGTAAAACCCCATAATGACCGATCAAATTCTTCACCCCCCTCTGCGTGTTAAAGGGGCCTTTCACAAAGCAGCCAAACAGTAACACAACAGAGGGTGAAGGTCAAGGGGAACCGTTGCACTCATGCAAACCATGACGGATGCGCTTTTACCACCGCAAGATGAATAGCTACCGCTGCTGTCACCCCATCCGCTCCACTCGGACCAGTTCTGCCAACTGCCACGGCTCCACTGCTCGCCCTCGCGGGCGGCGGGAGCACTTGTTTCGGCATAACGGGCAGTTTGCTGCTTTCGTTCCTCGAAAATTCTATCGAGTTCCGTGCATACCGTTCATTTTGGCCAAAAATCCAGTCCATCTCGTTGCGGAGGTCGTCCAACGTGTTGCCTTGCAAATGAATAATCCCGTTCCAACAACCAATGCTGCGGGGCCTATTCTGCTCCATCACCACGTTGACGAACGCTCTGGGTCTGTAAGGCATCCCTTGGAACATCACGATCCAGCGAGAGGACAAAGCCTCTTGCAGCTCGTTGGGCAGGAACTCCGATATCTGTCTTGATGTACGCGAGCCTCGCGATTCGCGACTCCGACGTTGAACCAAGGCCAACGCCCAGAGTGCGCTGGGCCTGCGACTGCTTTGGAGCAGCCGAGACAAGATTTGCGCTCAGCTCCATGCGGAGCATGTCCGCCTCCCGACGGCCCACCTCAAGCATACGAACTCTGTATTGAAGATCGAGTTCATAGCGGTCAAGTAGAGAGTGGTAGCCGTTCTTCAGGGCGGACTTGAGCTTCTTCCGGGCCTCCTGAATGACGGCACTGTCCGGGGAGTTCAAGCCACGAATGATGCTGTTACGATCCTCCTCGCGAAGGTCGGATGTTCCCACAGATGCAAGGACCTGAGCTGTGACGTGGGTGCTGAGGCCCATCTTCTTCAACAGGTTGGAACGCTGCATGATGTAACTGCGCTGTTGCTCTTTCAACAGGCGTGGATTGAGGGGAGATAACTGCCCACATGATGAGCAGTGCACCTGCCCCTCGAAGACACTGTTGTTGCAAACCGGGCACGTGGCGACATTCAACTCAACATTCTCCATTGGATTGAAAGTCTTCTGCCTCTTCGCTTCCGCTTGCGGGGCGCGAGGAGAGGCCACATTTGTGCGCGTCGTAGCAATACGTTCCAGCGCCGTTGAACGATCATCAGCCACAGCTTGTTCGCGCTTCATCCCCTGGGGTTCATCTTCAATCGTCTCAGCTGGTGCACCTGCATCCGATTGCTCGGAGCGAGTGTACCAAACATCGCCATTTGTAGCGTCCAATACCGAAATAATCGTGTAATTGGGCACCTTGTCGCGCGTGAGGACACCATCGCTCTCTGTCTGGAAAAAGCAAAGCCCTGCGCGAATGGCCATTCTGAGATCGATTTGTGTCTCCAGGGGTCGATCTGCGCGTACGCCTGATACGTAGTGTTCGCTTGTGCTGGGGACGTCGGCGAAGAAGACGTGGGGCCGGCCTGTTTCATGCTGATCTCCACCGCCTGGCAATAATCCGTTCCGCATGATGTTAGCGAAATTTCGCTTGTCGGTGCGGTGATAAAGCACAGTTGGAGGATTGCTGCAAACATTCCAGCCGGCCCAGCGCCCGAGGTCAGTCCCCGGGTTCACATACCACTCCTTCGCGATGCCGGAGTCGTCAATCTTGAGCCAGTCCTCATGGCCTTGGGAGGCCTTCAGCTTGAAAAGCCAATGAGAACAGGGGACGACTCCGCACCGGCTTGCGTCCGGGCAACCAAGGCCAATGAACCTCTGCTTCTTGTCCAACTTGAAAATATCCATGATGTTCTGGATGTTCCATGGAATGGGATGTCGCACCCTGGGCATCGGGTATTGATTCTAATCAATCTGAAAGTACTATAATTTATTGATATTGATTTGCATCGTTTTTATTGATTTTTCTAATATGTTTTGTCGGACCTTTGTTAGCTGTGTTTTTTGCTTCCAAATATTGATTTGAATATTGATTTGGATATTGATTTTACATTTCTTGCTTTCAACTGAAAAGGCAGGTGCTGCAGATGCAACCCTTTAGGCTCAAGCATCGAGCTTGGACCCATTCTTGACGAAAGAAGTGTTCTTGACAAAAGAACGCCTTGACAAAAGGGTGTCCTCCTTGACAAAAGGCAACGCCCAAGCATCTGGACAATAGAGGTGGGCCCAGGCATACAATAAAGCCACAAGTGGATGAAGGTTTGCTGCTGAAAGTATTCAGCCTTCACCAAGACCTGCTGCAAGACTTTGGTGTGTATGAACACATATCAAAGAGCCAAGCTGTGAACCCCAAGGGGTTATTCAAGCTGTTGTCCTTGACAAAAGGGCTGCTGGAGTTGGAGCCCCAAGCAGAAATACACAGCCAGTGCTTGAGAAATTCCATTTTTCAGGTACTGTTGAAGGAGCCCTCTCTCAATGACACCAAGTTTTCTGGCAGTGTTTGGGTGGGGCTGAGGGTGGAAAGAATTGGGGTGCTGCTATACCACATGAGGAGGCTAGCTGCTTCTGACTTGAAATCTTGTGCTGCGAAGCTTACTGGGCCTGATTATCTGCAGCTGAGAGCAGTTGTGGGCCAGATCATCAAAAAGCCACAGTTGCAACAGCATGAAGAAACCCTGCCCCTTGACCAAAGAAAGCCTCTTGACCCAAGGGAGCCTCTTGACGAAAGGGAGCCTCTTGCCCCAAGGGAGCCTCTTGACAAAAGGGAGCCCCTTGACAAAAGGGAGCCTGCTTCAGGGGAGCCAAAGAAGAAGCTGAAGAAGCACATAAGTGATGTGAGTGTGGACAGCTCTGGTATTCCAAAGTGCTTTGGGACTCCTGAAGCTAAGGGCAGCCATGAAGAGGAAACACCAAAGGCATCATGCCCCCCAAGCAAGTCTTTCCTGAGAAGAAGACCAGGGCAAGCTGTGGCAGCCAGTAGCAAGGGTGAAAAGCCAACAGGCTTGAGGAAAGAATTGGGCATTTGGACAAGGAAGAGGCCAGCCTCCAACAAAAAGAAGGTTAAGAAGGCTGGCTCCTTGACAAAAGGGGTGTCCTTGACAAAAGGCTGCTCAGAAAAGAAGGCAAAAGCAACACCAACAGAGCCTACAAGAAAGCCATGGGCTAAGCTGACGAAGACTGTCACCAACAAAGAGCCCTACAGGGCTTACATATGTGGGGCCCATGACCCTGATGGGAAAGTCATGCACATTGTCCAAACAACTAAAGCGGGCCACCCATCCTATGTGGACATTATGCAGGAGATCTTAAAGAGGCTGCAAGCAGAGCATTTGACAAAACAAGAAGCAGTTGAACTGAAGGACCACTTGTATAAAACCTGGTAGGTGGTTCACAAAGATCCTTGACAAAATGTGTTTTTGCACTGTTCTTGACAAAAGAAGCAGGGGCCAAGTTTTTCAAAAGGCACATTTGTCCTTTGACAAAAAGGATTCTTGCCTTGCCCAATGCCTAGAAGCTTGCCTTGACAAAAGGGCATGCCCCCTTTTCACAAACTTCTCGACAAAGCAGGAAAAATGCTTGGGCAAGGACTGGTTTGGTGGGACTGTGCTTGTCACTCCATAGCATGCCATGAGGTCTGAAGTAGCCACAGTGTTTGGTGAAACCTGGTTGCCAACAGAAACAATTCAAGTGATGCGCCTTGTTCAAACCTATTCCCACTTTGGCTTCCACACCCTAGTGCCCCAAAAGGAACTGCCCCAAAAGTAGTGTGGGCAACTTGTGTTTGTGTGAGTGCTTTTTTGGCTCAAGCCCGCATATAGTTGTTGCCCTTGGCAAAAGGGCCCATGGCTAAGAACAACAAAGGAAGAGTTGCTGGCAGCGGGACAGTCACCAACACAAGAAAGGAAGCCTTCAAAAAGAAAGGCATGGCCAGGGAAAATACAAACATGGCTCTGGAGGATGCCTTAGCAAAGGGCATTGACTGGGAGGCTGACAAAGCGTTGGGAAAGAACAGAAAACCACACCTGTTGACTGCTTGGGAGCTGAAGTACTGCCTGGCTTCAAAAGAGCAGAAAGCTGATATGGAAGAAGAAAAGAAGAAGAAAGAGGAAGAGGGAAGGAAGAAGGCTTCCTTTGACAAAAAGGAAGAGCAGGATGAGGAGCCTTCCCTTTTGCCAAGGGTGGTAAAGGAAAAGGGCG